CAAAATTTTTATTATTTATTTATTAAATTTTAATAAGTGAGATTTATTTATTTTTTATAATATTTATTAACAATAATTATTTTTATATAAAAATTAAATAATTAAATTTTTATATAAATATAATATATAAAATTTATTTATAGATAGATTCACATTTATATAAAAATATTACTTAAAATTATATAAAAGTCAAAAGTCAAAGAGTAACAACTACGGAGTACCAATGGTTTTTATTCTTTTTTATTGACCAATGCCGAGTAAATTGGTTGAGAGAAAGTATTTAATACAATATTGAGCTCTAAAATAATTCTGAACTTCCCAAAAGCAGAACTTATTTTTCACTTTTGGCAACCAAACACCCCCTTGTAGTTTTCATGACATGCTCGGTTGAGGGGATAGTGACCTTTAGTTCCAAATGAAAACAACTTCTTGTATTCCAAAAAAAAAAAAAAAAAAGGGAGGAAAATAGCTTCTACCGTAGTAAATAGTTATCTTCAATAGTTCTATTTTGTTTTGATAGTATATTTAATTTGATGGAAATGGAAAAAAAGAGAAATTATTTTAATTAATTAAATTTTAGTATTTAAAAATATTATAATTTGATTAGTTATAAAATTTTTCTTTTTTTCTTCTACTCTTCATTCTCTTTAACCTAAATATATTATTAGTAAAATGAAAAGGCTTAATTACAAAATAATCAACAATGTATTAAAATGATCCATTATTAATGTGAAACTATTTTTAAAATATTCACCTAAGCTAAAATTATTTTTTTATAAAAGTCCATATATTTTATAAAAAAATTATATAATTTAAATTATATCGAAGTGCACAATACTAATTATTGAATAAAAAATAAATTATTTAATATTAGAGAATTTTTCACATCAAATAATTTATATATTATAGTCTAAATTATAATGTATTACTCTTTTACAAATATTTTTTTTTTGTCCAAACATTCCAAAAAGTTCACTAACTAAAAATAGGTAATAAGGAATTTAAGAAAGGAAAGAAGTCATCTCCCTCATAATCTATTGTGACCTACCAAAAAAATGTGAAAAAGGGGATTCTAAATTCCTTTATTGTCAATGAGGGTGTGACATTTATAATTTAAAATTCATTTCCCGTCAATGAGAGAGACATTACGACTTTTTTTGGGCGGTCAGAGGGACATTGTAATTTAATAAGAGAAAAACAGAAGAGTTGAATGAGGAACTTCAAATAATAATATTAAAAAAAAGGGTTATTGTTTATTTATTTTATTTTT